ATGTTGTGGGGTTGTTAACCAATGTCATAAAACAACATGTGTACTACTGTTTCATGAGAAACTATTTGTTCTGTAAGCCTTCACCTGAAGTACAATAATATATTAAAAAAAAAAAAAAAATTACATGCCAGAAAAAAGTATGGAATGAAATCCAGAAAGTAACAAGTAGAAAAATAAGTAAGCACTGTTTTACCAGGAAGCATCAGTGGAGGAAGCCAGGATCTCTTAACATAATGTTCACTGGGGAGGAGGTAGGAGTTGGTGGCTCAATTTTTATGGCTTACATTTACCATTATACCATGTATATACTGATAACGGAAAGCCTGGTGGTACAGTGGTTAACAGCTATGTCTGCTAACCAAAAGGCTGACAGTTCGAATCCACCAGGTGCTCCTTGGAAACTCTATGGGGCAGTTCTTACTCTGTCCTATGGGGTTGCTATGAGTTGAAATCAACTCAGTGGCAATGAGTTTATACTGATAAGATTCAGGGGATTAAAAAGATTATAATTAAGAATTTATTATTTTTAGCTCTCTGAGAATGGTTCCACCACTATGTCCCTCCTCTAACTATAGTACATGCAACTTTCATACATGGTTTTTAAAAAATAATATTTTGTTGTATTTTAGGTGAACGTTAACACAGCAAATTAGGCTCCTCTTTAACAATTTTTATACAAATTGTTCTGTGTCATTGGTTACAATTTTTACAACATGCCAGCCTTCTTCTATTTCCATTCTATTTGTTGTCTCCATTGATCTAGCTTCCCTTCCCCTCTTTGCCTTCTCATCTTCTACATGCTTTTATAAAGTATCCTAAACAAAACTATAGGACTGTCTGTACTCTGTTCATTAATTTAACGAATCTTTCTTCATTAAAGTTTATTAAAGAGTGTTGGGTTTCATTATTTGTCCTACCTATACGTCCCCTCTCTGGGAACTAACACACTCCCCTTGTCGCCCAAAAGGGCTAATCTCAACGGCAGCCCTGTTCTTACTGTGAGACTCCAACACTCTACCATCCCAAATGGCCTGAAGTCGGACATCTAACCCAGGTAAAAAAATTCATTACTGACGGACCAGATTTTCTCTTGAAAACTTAAACTAAGAGAAAGAAATACTGTTGTCAAGGGGTAGTGAGCCTTGAGGCTGAAAAGTCGAACAGCAGAGACCACAATCAATAATATGGCAAGCCAAAGACATGTATCAGAAAGTACAAGAAAGGAGTTTGGAAGAGACACCCAGAGAAGCAGAAATGGGAGATACAGCAAACCTACTTGTTGATTTCTAACATTTTATTTCCCTTGAAGCCTGGTAATATTTCTTCCTGCTCATGGATGCCAGTAAGATCGTCTCTAGCATTCTTAAAACAAATTCCCTTTTTATTTGTGCATTTTTAAACTAATCTCTGTTCCTTTCAACCAAAAAACCTTGACTAAATAAAAGATAAACTTCATTTTATCCCTTGTCTCATTACAGCATTTTTATTTATGTTACAACTGAATTAGTAAGGTTTTGCTAAATTCTATGCTGAACATGAAGTGACAGCAACCATCTAGCTCCTTGCTATTCAAAAGTGTGTTCTATAGCACTGTAAACTTTCACCTAAAGCACAATTAAAAAAAAAAGTGTGTTCTATAAACTAGATGAATAAGCATCATCAGGAAGCATGTTAAAAATGCAGAGAAGTCAGTTAAAAATGTGTTCTGGGGCAATTTTTCCATAACTTTTAACTGGTTACTCTTCTTTTTAGGATGTGTGGATATGATTTATTAAGCTGATTTATTAAGCGTCCTCATGATATGCACTGAAAATGTAATGGACAATTAGCCATTTGTTACATATAATTCTGCAGACATCTTTTCTGAATGTGGAACATGAATTAGGCCGAGCCAATCAGGTTATTCTTATCCTTTGACAACTATGATTAATCAAGGGATGAGCATTTGATCTGAGCCAGTCTAATCAGAGTGAATATAAAGATTTTTACTGGTAATGTTAGGACAAAGGTTCTCAAAATTAAGAAAGAAGAATTCAGCTTACCTTGGACCTTCAAGTGAAACCAACCTTTAACATAAAGCTAACAAATAAGCCAACCAAGATATGAAAATCTGACCCTTGATGACATTATTGAAGCACTGGTTACAGCCAGAGGCATTAAATTCTACTTACTCTCTTGACTTCTTAGTTACGTGAACCAATAAACTCCCTTTCAGCAAGGGTTTCAACTGGGTTTTCTACTGATTATAAGCAAAAGAATCCTGGTACATAATACAGTGAAACCTGTGAGAGCCGGAACTTGACGTGACTGCCTTATATTTCTGGGTCTCACAAGTTTTCCACCTTTGGCAGGGTGCAGTCACATAACTTTCCTATTGCTCTGTTAGTGTAAAATATTTGAATTTTCCTTCTCTGACAGGTTTCCGCCTTACACAGGTTCTGGCTTTTGCAGGTTTTAATGTATGTGAGTTGAGATTGGCATCAAGAAATCATACTAATTCCTTAGTTGATGTCCAGCTGCCTATTTTAATCTTAAATTCCAGTTATCAGTAATCAGAGCTTCCTTCAAGCCAGTACCTTGTTCACAGCAGATGCTCAATGAGTATTTGCTGAATCAAATTAGCAAAGCAGGATCTAAGGCAGGAATCTAAGAGGCATTTATCATCAAAGTTTGTACAATATTGTCTTCTAAAAGCAGTAAGACTCAACTTCTAGACAGTATTCTCAGAATTTCTTTACTGCATTCCACAATAAGCAATATATTTCTAACATCATGATCTGGTACACACAAAATCTGTATTACTGAAAAATTTTTTTCAAGAAACAATATTTACCTCTTAATGCATGCAAAGCACTGATATTTTCTATTTTTTTTAATGCTCATCACTACCCAACAAACTGATTTCACACCCCTCACATGGGTAATGATCTACATGTTGAAAAATACATTCATAGAAGTTCTCTTAAATTAAAATGGGGAACTGCTGTGCCTTGCTAGGAACTAGATCAGCCAGGGCAAATAGCACAAAGGAGGTTAAAAAAAAACCAAACCTGTTGCTGTTGAGTCTATTCTGACTCATAGCAACCCTACAGGACATAGTAGAACTGCCCCATGGGGTTTCCAGGGCTGTAATCTTTTTTTTTTTTTTTAATTGTACTTGAGACGAAGGTTTACAGAACAAACTAGTTTCTCATTAAACAGTACACCTATTGTTTTATGACATTGGTTAACAACCCCATGACATGTCAACACTCTCCCTTCTCAACCTTGGGTTTCCTATTACCGGCTTTCCTGTCCCCTCCTGCTTTCTAGTCCTTGCCCCTGGGCTGGTGTGCCCCTTTAGTCTCGTTTTGTTTTATGGGCCTGTCTAGTCTTTAGTTGCAGGGTGAACCTCAGGAGTGACTTCATTAATGAGCTAAAAGGGTGTCCAGGGGTCATACTCTCCAGTCTCTGTCAGGTCAGTAAGTCTGGACTTGTTTTGTGAGTTAGAATTTTGTTCTACATTTTTCTCCAGCTCTGTCCAGATCCTCTATTGTGCTCCCTGTCAGAGCAGTCAGTGGTGGTAGCCGGGCACCATCTGGTTGTACTGGACTCAGACTGGTGGATGCCATGGCAGTCGTGATCCATTAGTCCTTTGGACTAATCTTCCCCTTGTGTCTTTAGCGTTCTTCATTCTCCCTTGCTCCCGAAGGGGTGAGATCAATGGAGTATCTTAGACGGCTGCTCACAGGCTTTTAAGACCCCAGACGCTACTCACCAAAATAGAATGTAGAACACTTTCTTTATAAACTATGTTATGCCAATTGAGGTAGATGTTCCCCAAGACCATGGTCCCCACAGCCCAGTAATTTGGTCCCTCAGGGAGTCTGGATGTGTCTATGGAGCTTTCATGATCTTGCCAAGGCTGTAATCTTCACAGAAGCAGACTGCCACATCTTTCTCCCTCAGAGTGGCTAGTGGGTTCAAACCAAAGGCCTTCTTGGTTAGTAGTCAAGGAGTTAACCACTATGCCACCAGGGCTCCTTCCAGGAGAAGGTACAGGCACCCTCAAATACCGGTTAGGCCAAGAGCCTGTCAACCGGTTCTACCTCTCGCCTCTCTCTCACCCTTCCTTATAATTAATTAGATTCTCACTATGATAGTGTCTTGCTCACAAGTCTTCAAAGTGGTCCCCAGTCTATAAGGCTCAGATTCTAGAGAATAGATTCATAGCACAGAGCCCACTAAATGCACCAAACACATGATGACAACTAAACAGTTGTGTAAATAAAAGGTATGTGGATGTGTCAGTTAATAAAATGCAAATCTGTCTGAAGTGTCACAAAATTTACAGGAACTTACTACATATTTCTCAACCAAGAATTAGGAAAATTCTTAACTCTTCTCCAAAACATCCTTTTTTTGAATGTCAAGCTGTGAACTGCAATTACAAAAACTGTTTTTCATAACCTGGAGAATTGGTTGCTAAGTGGTTACTAGGAGCTCCGGTGACACAGTGGTTTAGAGCTCGGCTGCCATCTGAAAAGACAGCAGTTCGAACTCACCATCCGCTCCAGGAGAAAAAGGTGTGGCAATCTGCTTCTGCAAACATTATAGCCTTGGAAACCCTATGGGGATTCTACTCTGTACTACAGAGTCGCTATGAGCCAGAATGGACTCGATGGTTTAGTTTTTTTGGTTTTAAGTAGTTACTTATACCATCACATCAACAGTTTATTTTGACTCCCACAAGTGGCCCAAATCCTATCATGTAAGGGGTGAACAAAATGTTTTGCACATAAAGAGAATTCCTAACATTAATTAGAGAGAGATACACACATACAAACAGAAAGGAGACAAAAAGAAAAAACTGGGATTTTTAATTAATAAACAGGATGGATCAAAACTTTTGCCTAGCACTTAACACTCTATAATCTGACACCATTCCAAACATGGCCAACCTTATCTCCTACAACCACCCAACAGAAACTCTCGACTCTGACAAGTTAATCTCTTTAATGACACACTTAAAAGGTTCACACTAACCTTCAAACCAACTCTCTTCCCCTGTCCGGAATCTCCTTCCCTCCTCTCTACTTATCCAAACCCTACTTCTCCATGAAGGCATCCAGTTCACATCAATCTCTTCCCTCTGATTCTCCACAAAATTATAGTCTGCAGGAGACATTCTGACAGCGTCATAAAAATAATTACCATATAAAGATAAACAATTATAAAAGCATTTTGGGAAGTTTCAAGATTTTATGTTCTGAATGGCTTTAGGTAAAAAACAGTTAACAGAACAACTTATCTCAAACCAAATGACAATCTTCATGGATGCCCTAGATGGAAAACACCTTTTCAGGAAATCCAAACCTTGAATTCTTGTCAGTCTTGGTAGCACCATCTTCAAAATAATGTTCCTTTAACTTAGGGTGGATTTACACTTTGACAACTATTCATTTCTAGGCTTTTGAAGTTAATTTGGCTCTACTGTCTAGAAGCTGAAAAAATACCCAAACATATAAAGCTTAAAGAGCCAAATCAGACTACTGGAGATGTTTTTAAAATTTTGAAAATGCATTAATATTTTCTGTTATACACTCTTAAGAACCCTTTCCTTACCCATCACTGGTGGTGGAACACACCGGTGTGAGTGAGCAGCAGACAACTTAATGACCATTTGTTACGATCACTTAAAAGCATTTAAAAAGCTTAATAATTCAACTGCTGAAAAGAATTAGAACAGGACTCCATGACAAGATGGCACCAAAATATTTAGTTTCTAGGTATTCTTTTTTCTTAAAGCAATAAAGCCTGGAGAAATGCCAGGATGGTGTACCGGAAACCAGCTTCAGAATGAGCAACCTTAGCTATAATAGTAATTGCTAACATTTACTTAGCTCTCGCTTAAAATAAGTCAAGAATTAGGCTAAATCTTTTACATGAATTATTTTGTTTAATCCATTCACCAACCTATTAAGTAGATATATTATTACTATTGTCATTTTAAAGTTCAGAACTGAACTTTTGAAAGTTAGTAAGTGCAAGGTCACAAGTAGTAGGGCAGTGAATCACACGCAGCTGTTCCTGCCACCAAAGCCCCAGCTCTTAATTACTACTTTACTAATCTGGCTTTGTGACTGTGCAAGTCATAACCGACCCCGGGCCTCACTTTCCTCATCTGTAAAAATAAAGCAGTGAATGCTGAAGTTCCTCCTAGCTCTGCAATATTACCAACTTCACCATTCCCCGGGCGTCAACAAACAAACCATTGTCATTACTTCTTTTAACTCAATCTAACAAGCATTTACGCAACTTATGATGGGTGGCAGCCGGCCTTTTCTCTCCCCGCAAACCGCTGGGACCGTCTAGGGTCCTTTCCGCTCCAGAGCCCCACCTGGAATACTCGTGCCTCTGGGCTAGCCCTAGTTGTGCTTCCCGGGGCCACTCACCTTTCAAGTGGTGTCCGCTGCCCAGCGTCGCAGGAACTCTCGTCCCCGCTGCCCGGTCCCCTGCTGGGGTTGTGTGGAGTGCCCCCGTTTGCGATCGTTCCGCGACGCTTCCTTTCGCCATGGCTGCTGCAGGGAAGGGGGAGGAAGCAGGGTGATGCTGCAGCCCCTTAACAACTCCGCAGCAGGGTCTTTACAACGCACCGGCGCGACAGCCTAAGCCACTTCCGGCGCGACCTCTTCACCTGAGACGACCTCAGTCCCGAGAACACTGCACTGTTCGACCGAGCCCCGCAGGACCTACTCGGACTGGGCTCCGCCCGGCGCCGCCTCCGAGCCTCGCGCGCTCGCGCCGACCCACTAACCGCGAGACAAGTCAAGTTCCCGGCCCGCCCCAACCATTGGCCGGTCCGCCTCTCGCCCGCGAGAGGCATGCGCAGTTGCGGTATCGAAATCACCGGGCTGCGGCTGGCGGACGCAGGCTCTTAACGCGCAGGTTTAATTATCCGGAAGTGCGAGTCCAGAGATTTTAAACTCTTTGTCAGGTCCACCGGAAGTGCCCGCCAGTGACTGGTTGGCGTTTTGCGACTGACGCTGTTTCCGTCTTCGTACTTGTACACCAATTCCACAAGCTGTTGATAATGAGTCTGAAGGGGCGAGAAGATGCAAGTCTGAAGATGATGGAAGAGAGAAAGCTTGAGCGAAGCGTACCTGAGTTTCAGGACCTTAAGTATCGGGGAGGGGCTATAGCGTCTGAATGTAACTCACAGGGTGGAAAAAATCAGATTAGAATCTGGGTTTTCTTGTTCCAATGTAAATGTTTTCCCTTGTCATCATCCTGCCGCTCCTAACTAACAAACCCAGGTCAGCTCATTAAACTTATCTTTTTCTTGTGCTGAGCCCATACGTTCGTTTTTGACAGTTAATTTTCCCATGCCTGTCTCTCAGACCAGTATTCAACTTGCTCTCTTTGGTGAGTGTATTAGCAATCCCTCTTGAAAGTAACTTGTGAGAGAGAGTTTTAATTCTCCTGGAATCCAGATTTCTGGGATCCATGGAAGTGGGGTGACCCACCCAGGCCATTGTCCCAAGATGTTATTTTAAACCTTAAGCTTTGAGAAAACTGGTTTCTAAAAGACCTTTAAGTCACACAGTGGTCTAGATAAATTAGTAGAGACCGTTTTGCCTTAGGCATTATGTTCTTTTGAAAAAATTATCTATTTGCATTCAGTTTCAAGAAACTCCAAGGTCAGACTAGAAGCTATGTTTTAGGGTAAATTGTTATATAAACGTTCTTCTGTCTCTGTTTCCATGACAATGTCGATGAGATGGGGTATAAGAATTTTTGGAAGTTTTTTTTTCTCTTGGGAACATTTTTTATTGACTAGTTGAAATGATACCCTGATTTACAAGTTGTATATTAAATAAGCTTCAATTTCTATTATTGGTTTAATAAGATTTTTGTTTTAACACTTGGCAATGTGTGTAAAAGTATTCTGATTATTTCTCTCTAGTAATTTTCATTTCTAGGAAACTATTCCAAGGAAATAAATATATACAAGGAGTTGTTCCTAACAGCATTATTTATTAATAAAATGGTGAAAATGTGAAAGCAATCTAAAACTCCAACAATTAGGAAAAACGGTTATGTAAATTATGGTAGATCCATTTGTGTGAGAGTTCCAAAATTGAGGTGCTTGACTCATATCAGAATGATCAGCCCAGGTCTGAGCTGGCTCCATCTCAGCTTTTGTTTATCTCTCCTGTAACCATCAAAACCTCAGACAGACTTAAGTACGTAATAAAGGAAACTTTTTTTTTCTCTGTGGTTAAACTAAAGATGTGGAAAGAATGATCCTAAGGGAGGGTCTTGACACAAGACCCTTATCAGTAATCCCCTCAGCGGCTCTCAGGAAATGTTCTAAGATAGTTACCTTATGACCACCCTGTAAAACCCAAAAAGTACCTGTTGCCATCAAGTTGATTCTGACTCATAGTGACACTATAGGACAGAGTAGAACTGCCCCATAGGGTTTCCAAGGAGTGGCTGGTGGATTTGAACTCTCCACCTTTAGGTTAGCAGCCCTAGCTCTTAACTACTGTACAACCTGGGCTCTAAAATGCCCATAGTCTCACAAACTAACCAATCCAAATAGCCCACATTTGTATTTCCAACCAATCACTGTAAAGTCCCTCCCTTTGAGTTGTGCCGCCTCTTGCTTCCTTGATCTTGCAACTTCCAGTGAGAATGCTGTACCTTTAGTCCTTGATTTTACCTCAGAAAATATGCCTCTGTAACTCCACCATTTTGGAGTGTTTGGTACTTTCTGAGATCAGAGGAGCTATCACTAAATCTCTCTGTTTTTATTTTAACAGAATAGGCAATCTTATTCATTGACACATTCAATGAAACTGTTTTATGTACACATTTCTTTTTATGTACAAAATTAAGGCCTTCATTGACCACTCTTGAGAGGTAGCTTCTCATTCTGCAGCATCCTGCTTATTTCCTTCATAGTTGTTATTAAAAGCAATACTTATTTGGATTATTTACTTACTTGTTTATTGTCTGTCTCCACCTCTAGAATGTAAGCTTGAATAAGTCACCAGGGACCTTGTCTTTTTCTTAACCATATGTATTCCCAGCGCTGACACAGTGCCAGCATCTAGGTGAGCATTAAATAAATCTGTTGAACAAATTTTCAACCATAGTAAATTATATTTATGAAGGAACTAAATGTGGACAATATTTGTGCAAAGATAAATTCCAAGAGGTACCTATCAAGCAAAAATGTGTTCGAAGAAAAAATAGCTTCCTCAATGCCCAGGAACATGGCAGCAGCTGGCTGTGATTGTGGCACCAGGCAGAGCTCTGCCATGGGCGGGTGGTGAGCAGCTGCTGCGAAGAAGAGTACAGGAGCTATTCCGGCCACAACTGGGAGCAGGCACCCCGAGCCCAGAGTGCGACTCCAGCTTCTCTTAACAATTGGGGCACAGTCATTATGGAGCATTGGTGGAGGGTGCCACTGGCCTGGGAGGGCAGGAAGTCACACCTGCACTGGCAACACCGCATCTCCAGGCTGCTGGAGGACACAAAACACCTGCCCAAAAACAATCTGGAGCTCATACACAGTCTGTGGAGGAACTTGGAGTCCGAGGTGACCTGGTCTCAGTAAAGAAATCTGTGGGTGGTAATCAACTCCTTCCTCAAGGACTGGATGTGTATGCATCCCCTCAAAACAAGAAGCTGTTCGAAGAGGAAAAATTGCTCAGACAAGAAGGAAAATTAGAGAAGATCTAGACCAAGGCAGGTGCGGCAACAGTGAAATTTCTGAGAAGCTGTCACCTGGAAGTGGGGATGAAGAACAATGTCAAATGGGAGCTAAACTCTGAAATAGTTCGTGTCACTTCTTCAAGAACCTTGGTGTTGTGGTAGCCCCCCCCCCCATGCAATAAAGTGACCAGAAGAGCCCATCACACAGTAGGATGAGTACTGGTGTGAGGTGATGGTAAATGGGCTTGACACTGTGAAGGTGCCTGTGTCTGTGCTGAACTTTGAGAAGCCCAAGACCAAAAGATACATAAGTACTGGTTAGTTCAGCAGGCTGCCTAGGGAATGGCCACCAAAACTCCCAGACGCTCTGACCTACCCTCCCTCCAAGGCAGCCAGATGTCTTCAAGACCTCTATATTCTGCAAAGCAGAATCAGAGCAGTGGAACAATGGTAGGCCAGTACCCTGATCTCACTCCCAGCTCTGACCAAATACGGAATTTAAGAGTGCATATGGGGACATCAGACTAAACTGCACACACGTTGAATTCTCCATATTTGCCATCTCCATCTTAGACTATCTTCACACTCTTTTTTTATTGAGACAGTCCTGCTCAAGAAATACCAAGCTGTAAATTTGATAAGCTGGACCTTAATGGACTGAAGCAGTTATAGATCCCACCTAGCCTCTTCCTCCATTGGAGCTCATTGCAACAAACAGAAAGAGCTAGCCAATGTCTCTAGTACTTGGCTCGTTCACATCACCCAAACCAAACACTGTTTCTCAAACAGAAATAAAGAGGTTATGTTCTTTGTAAAATATATATATATATAAAAACAAGAAAATTTATATTCTCAGGGAAGAGAAGGTCCTCTTTAGCAAGACACAAAACTACTTAGAAAATTAAGAAAAGAACAACTCAACAAAAGAAGAAATTGAAATAGCCAATAAATTAAGAAATGATAAATCTCATTTGTAAGTTAAATGTAAATTAATGAAAAAATTAAGTATTATTTTTAACCTATTAGCAAGAAACAAAAAGCTGATGATATCCAGTGTAGGTAAGAATGTATAGAAAAGGGCACTTTGTCATACATTGTTTCTGGGAGAATTAATAAGTGCAACTTTCAGCTAAACAATCTAGTAGTAGGTTGTATAACTTAAGAACTGACTTCTGGATCAGAATGTGACTGCTTCTTACTAGTTGTGAAACCTTGGGCCAGTTACAAAACTTTTCTGTCCTTATTGTCTCTACGATATAGGAATAATAGAACCTACTTCATACGATTGTTTAAGAGTTGATATACATAAGAGATTTATTAACAATGTTCCTAACAGCATTATTGATTAATAAAATGGTGAAAATATGAAAGAAATCTAAAAATCACAGTTGTTAGGTGCCATGGAGTCAGCTCCAACTCATGGCAACCCTGTATGTAACAGAACAAAACAACATTGCCTGCGCCACCCTCACAATCACTGCTATGTTTGAACCCGTTGTTGCAGCCACTGTGTCAATCCATTTTGTTGATGGTCTTCCTCCTTTTCGCTGACCCTCTGTAAAGCATGATGTCCTTCTCTGGGGATTGGTCCCTCTTGATAACATGTCGAAAGTATGTGAGATGAAGTCTCACCATCTTTGCTTGTAAGGAGCATCCTGGCTGTACTTCTTCCAAGACAGATTTGTTCATTCTTATGGCGGTCCATGGTATCTTCAATATTCTTCGTCAACACCATAATTCAAATGCATCAATTTTTTGGTCTTCCTTAACTAGTAATCATAGCTAATGATTAATAAATGTGACTGAAACTTTCTTGAATGGAATACTTCTTGTAGATTTGTCTCCCATAGAAATACTCATGTGTATGTACACAAATTGTTTGTTCATAGTCAAAATTGGAAATAAGTTAAATGTCCATCAATAGGGAAATGTTTAAATAAACTCCGATAATCTATATAATGGGTATTTCACAATAATTTTAAAAATGAAGTAGCTCTTTATATACTAACATAAATATCTTCAAGACTTACTCTTAAGTTCAAAAGGTAAGCTGCAGAACAATGCACACATTATGATATCAATTGTGTAAAAAATATTTTTTGTTTATGTGTACATGTATATT